GTATTTTCCAGCATGCAGTGAACCATGGGTGCAATGATAACAGGCCTGTTCCTGCCTTCAGCCCAGCTGCTGAGAGAGGTGCGTGGCACTCACCCTGCTCATCCTTAATGGCATCCACGAGGAATCGGCATTCCTCCTGGATGCGCTCCTCCACGCTCCTCTTCCCCAAGCCAAAGTTTCGGAGGGTGGTCAAGGTGAATCTCCTCTGTGCCTTCCACAAGTGCCCACTGGAGTTGATCAGTCCTGGCAGAAACAGCCCCCTGTGAGCCAAGGCCGATCCCCCAGGGAGTGGAAAAACTCCAGGGCTCTGCCTTCTCCCCAGCTGTCTCAGACCTCTGCAGGGCCAACACCTGGACCTTCCAGCTGAGGTGCATGTCCTGAGGGATCACTCACCTATCTTGCCGGACATATCCTTTTCAATAGGCATTTCTGGGCGCTCAAGGAAGTTTTCCCCTTGGTTTACAAGCACTTCCTTAACCAGCCGCATCCCATTTACTATCACAAACTTCATGCTGCCCATCGAAGTGCCAACGATGTCACCATATTTTTCAGTAAGCTGGGTGAGGAAAAAGATAAAAGGGGTTTCATTTGAATGAATGTGTCTGTTGGGACAGTGACAGCCCTGTCGTAGGGCACAGGTAAAATTAAGGGAAGCTGAGAGTGGGAGAGGAAACAGAATTTGTGAACAAATCTCTGCCTGACTGCAGAGTGTATTTTCTTTTCTGAATCATTGATCAGACTTGGTGTTATTTGGCCATAAAGGAAGTAAACCTCTCAAGGTTTGATTTTTCAGATCTACCTTTATCCATGTTTTTTCTGCTCCCTTCCCAGACACCCTTCGAGCCCCGAACTCAGTCGTACAAGGCTCTGACAGCTGCGACAGCAACTCTGGGATCATGTTTTGCCCTTTGCCCCAGGGATAACTGCACAATTGTGCCCCACCTTGTAAACAGGAAAATTGCACTTGTGATGACAAACCTCCTTCCTGGCCCATGGCATCTGGTTTAACCCTTTCCCTGGAGCTGCAATTCCCGCTGTCCCTTCTGCCACAGTGCCCACCACGCGTGTACCTTCATCACTGCACCTATGGGATCTTTGAAGTCCATCAAGTAAAGATGCCCTATAAAGGGAAGGCGTAAAGGGGTGGGAGGGAAGTTCTTTGGGTTTCTGTTCTTCATGTAATCGGCGACAAACAGGAAGACAATGAGGAAGATGAGGAGTGTAGGGAAGGAGATGCTGTCCCAGAGACAGTGCAGCATGGCTGGACGGGAAGGCGGTGCACGGATGTGTCCAACAGTGTGTCAGGGCAGGTTGAGCTCCCAGGGCACCACTGAATCAATCCCCAGGGACACGGGCAGAGGGGTGATGTGCCGGCTCTGTGGGCACAAACAGAAGAGAGCACGGAGCAGCTTTTACTGCCCTGGTCTAGAGGCGGCGT